TATAGGGTAACCGTGCTCAAAGGCAAACATAATTTATTCCAGGAAAAACAAGTACTTAAAATCGCTGTTCCCAGGCTAAAATAATTAATCGGTAAAATAAGGATCGGTAGGGGTGCTTTTTAAGGGTTGTAAAGGTGTGTGGGGATAAAGTAGATCAGGGTCAAGGTGAATTAGCCTATTTGGGGTGGGAAACTTATTTTCTTAAAGATAAGCAGACGATTAAACTCGCTCTACCCAGGCTTAGGTAGGTTAGCCTGCTTGGGGGTTGATAGGGGTAGTTTCTAACCCTTAAAACGGTATTCTGCCGATATAAAAAAACACGGGTTCAATATTTTTTAGTGTTCTATCGATGTGCAAAGTTTGGTCCGAATCGGCGAGTATCACTTGGGTAGTGTTACTTGTCAGAAGCCTAGACACTGAAAGAAGGAAACAAGTGCCATAATTTGGTAGTTGTTGCCAAATTATTCAGTCAAATAATGTGGGCCAAACATCAAGTGATAGTTAGGAAATAGTTTAAATATACAAAGTAAATGTATAATTCTCAGAACCAAGATTTTTTTAGTTTTGCTAGAACTATACATTTAAGTGATCAAACTAGATTTGGAAAGTTAACATCAAATCTTGACAGCAGACGATCTCTTTGTAGCACGCGCGCGCGCGCTTATTTCATTACGCAAAATTTATTTAGAATTCTGTGTAACTATAATACGACACGTAAACTTTACAGAACAATATTAGCATTTTGTTGGGAAAGTCTTCAACTCTGGCATCCTCTTAATAGAAGAAATTGAATGTGTCTGTACGATACGTCTGTGTCTGTCGAACGTTACTGTATGATTGTTAATGTATTAGAGTTGAATTGATTGTTAATGTATTAGAGTTGAATAATTGACTGATATTATATAATGCTACGATAATTGCGATACTAAGTTCCCCTCGCGCTTTTATTTCAGGCACCAAAAAGCGAGTCGACGAGGTGACATCACCGAGGTCTATCCACGACTTGCCGGAACACGTTCTCACCTGCAGCCTGACGCTTCCCGGTGAGTTCCCAAAAATATAAATTCCTTCCTAATCAAGGAAAGTCAAAAGAAAGTCTGTGCATAATACGATATAAAATCACATTGAGAAGAATGATCCTCGAGCGAGGACCCTATCTGCCACGCAGGGGCCCAGGTTGAAAGCCACTGCCATTCAAAGAGATCCCGTTTAATAAACGAAACAATGCGCGTAGATTTCCATCTTTAAACGTGTTCGGCACGGTGTTCCGTCGCGAGTGGCTTTGTGTCTCGCGTTTTAAGTGCTCCACATGGAGACACGCACGGCAAGAACACGCGCATGTACACACGGTTGCGCCGACCCCGTACATGCGACCCCAACGGCGCTGGGCTGGCGTCGCGTCGCGTCGCGGAAGATAACACCCGGTGACCGCGGAGGAGTATGCGGAAGCTGGGACACACCCACCCACTACGTAGGGCTCTTAAACTCGGTTCGCACGCCCCCGCGTCTTCTGCCCGCTCTGTGCATCTATTTACGTACTTCTCGTAGTACCGGCCTAGCACTCCGGCGGATACCTCTCCCCGACACGGGGCGTCCCGCTCCCTTCATTGCCGACACAAGTGTGCGATTGTTACACACTTACGTGTATGAAATTGTATGGCTACTCTTTACGCACTGGTAAACTATTTTTCTATACATTTTACACGTGTGTTATCTTGCAGGTAAATGCATACTTTTTATATGCTCATACGTTAAATTGCATATTCGAGATGCGTAATTACAGATCAAGAGTAGGCCACTTATTGTGGTTATAATTATTGGAAACAAAAAATTCCTTATTAAATTATTTATCTATTGGGCACAATATATATAAATATCTTAGTAATTTTTATTTCTAACATATAAAGTATTTTTGTTCTGAATTATATGTGTGATGTGATATATGTATATATATGTATATGTATGTATATATGTATATGTATGTATAAATATCTATCTATTAATTAACTACGAACGTGTTGAATTTCATGGATGAAGGATATCTTTTTCAAATGTTTAATTTTATAACAAGTAATAGTGAACTCATATCGTATTGCAAGTTTACATTTTTTGTTTGTGTGATTATTTATAATATTTTATGTTTTAATTACAGCACTGAGAAAAATTATTCCAGAAAAAATTAACAAACGAATATTTCCGATCAATTTTTACGCCTGATTGGGATGTTCGTTTAAATTTAATCGGATATTTCCAATCATAATAGCATTTTATCAGATAAATCGCGATCAAAAAATTATGAACCAATATTTCTCATCGAATGTTTCTTGATCGGATACAAAATTCATCAGTATTTTGATCGGATAAAAAATTCATCAGTATTTTGATTTGAAATATTCATTTGTTAATTTCAATCGTATAATTTCTCTCAGTATTTGAAGCTGTTTTAAGTTGCTCTAAGTATATACTTTTTACAGATTTCAATTATTTCTAAGTACACGTTCTGTCACTTTTATACATTTAGTACTGTCATATTGTACACAGCAAAAAGTGTGTTAAATCACACGTGTAAATTTATCTTTTTATACCGTACATTCTGTAATTTCTGCACGCGGGGGACCAAATCGCACACATAAATGTGTAATTTTACACGCACAAGTGTATTTACTGCATACTTGGACTTGTGCAGTGTTCTATTCGCGATATTCCTTCCAGCGGGTCTCTCTTACCGCGGGGACCCTTCGTCCCGCGCATTGTCCCTTTCTCTCCCTTTCCGCCGAAGCTCTCAGCTGGCCGTGAATATCTAACTGTATTCCTGTGGTTGGCGCAGTTGTTGCGCTCTGTCGTCGATTAGCGCGAAGAGGAGGTGGTAGTCGCTAGACGACGCAAAAGGAGCACGAGAGCGTGGATTAACCTGCGTCGCGAAACACGCGTACTTCAAATAACGGCGGCGAGCACGTAAATGGACGTATTTATTTATTCCACAGAGGGCTGGGCGCACATAGAGATAGATAATAAAATCGTTGGTGAGAAAACAAGTTTTGGGCGTAGCGCGCGCAGATACCCGCCGCAGGATAAACGACACGTGCGAATGAAAATATTCCGCGCGATAACCCACGCGATATAACTGTTAGTGTCGAACGAATAATGCCCGCATTCGGCTTTACCGATATACAGCCGTTATCTCGTCATTATCTCTCGCTAATAAACTTGAAGCGATATCAATCTGCCGGAGAAGAATTAAAAAAAGCAATGCGTAGTTAGTATCTCTCGCGATATGCCGCGAAACGAGGAAGTTGCCTCCTCGTGGCTCGCTTTAAATCGACTTCCATTTCTTCCTTCTCTTTTCTTTTTTCCTTGCTTCCTCGGCGAGCCCAGCATCGGCGTCGCTCATGTAACAATCCCTCCTACGAAGACGGCGTCCTGAAACGGTTAAACCGGGTGAAAGGGAAAAGCGCACTCTCGGCCGCTTTAATTGCAACCGAGTGTGGGATATGCGCGACTCTTTTGTGTCTCGATTAGAGGAGGGGGGCAACTCCTCGCAGCAACATCAACGTTAACTATCCACTTACTGGAACATGAGCTACACGCTCACGATTCTCACACGCCTCCGTGTACTCGTGTGTTCATCCATTTATGCGACTCCTCTCGCAGAAGGGCCAACGCTCTCCTCCGTCTCTCTCTCTCTCTCTCTCTCTCTCTCTCTCTCTCTCTCTCTCCTCCCCTCTCTC